GTCGGCAAGTGATGGTTTTTGTAACAGAAGTAAAAGTAGGAATTTTTTTTTGATGGTGTAACAGAAGTAACAGTAGCAAGTGATAGTGAAACGAAGTAACAGGGGAAAGTGAGGTGAAAACGCGTAACGTAGAAAGTGATGGTTGTAACAAAAAGTAACAGTAAAAAGTGTTTTGGTTTTTTGGAACAGAAGTAACGGGGCAAGTGAGGGTTTTGTAACAGAAGAAAACGTAAAAAAGTGATGGTGTAACAGAAGAACAGAGGCAGTGGGGTTTTGTAACAAAAAAGTAAACAGTAGCAAGTGATGGTGTAACAAAAGTAACGGGGAAGTGATGATGTAACGAAAACGCAGCAAGTGATGGTGTAAAAAAGTGGTGAAAAGTGGGGTTTTGTAACAGAAGCAACATTTTGCAATGATTTTGTAAAGGATTAACAGTGCAGGTGAGGGTTTTGTAACAGAAGTAACAGCGCAAGTGAGGGTTTTTAAAGAAGAAACAGCTGCACGTGATTGTGAAACAGAAGTAACAGAGGCAATGATGGTGAAAAGAGAAGAACTGCAAGTTTTTGGGTTGTAACAGGAGAAACGTAGCAAGTGGTGGTGAACAGAAGTAACAGTAGAACAGCGGGAGGGTACAATATGGCAAGCATAGCTGATTACTTTTTCCCTTTATTTGTAACTAGTCATTTGTCCCCCCCCCCGTTTCTCTCTCTCTTGTTCCTTGCCCTCTCTCTCTCTTTTCTCTCTCTCTCTCTCTCTTCTCTGTTGTCTCCTCTCTCTTCCTCTCTCTCTCTCTCTCTCTTCTCTTTTCTTCTCTCCCCCTCTCTCTCTGTTTTCCTCTCTCTCCTTTTCCTTCTCTCTCTCTTCTCTCTCTCTCTCTCTTCTCTCTCTCTACCCTCTTCTCTCTCCTTATCTTTTTTTTACAAAGGTTTGACAAGGTTAAAAGGTCACTTCTCTTGTCTTCCTTTCTCTCTCTCTCTTTCTCTTCTCTCTCTCTCCTCTCTTCTCTCTCTCTCCCCTTTTCCCCTTCTCTCTTTTCCTCTTTTCCTTCTCTCTGTGTCTCTCTCTCTCTGTTCTCTTGTTTTTTTACACGGTTTGAAAAGGGTTAAGGATCACTCTCTCTCTTTTCCCTTCTCTCTCTCTTCTGTCTCTCTTCTCTCTCTCTCTTCTTCTCTCTCTTCTCTCTCTCCTCTTCTTCTCCTCTCTCTCTCTCTCTCTCTCTTTCTCTCTCTCTCTCTCTCTCTCTCTCTCTTCTCTCTCTCTCTCTCTCCTCTCTCCTCTCTCTCTCTCTCTCTCTTCTTCTCTATCTTTTTTTTTACAAAAGGTTTGAAAGGTTAAGGACCTCTCTCTCTGTCTTCCTTCTCTCTCTTCTCTCTCTCTCTCTCTCTCTCTCTTCTCTCTCTCTCTCTTCTCCTCTCTCTCTCTCTCTCTCTCTCTCTGTGTCTCTCTCTCTGTTCTCTCTGTTTTTTTTTACAAAAGGGTTTTTGACAAGGTTAGGATCACTCTCTCCTGTCTCCTTCTCTCTTCTCTCCTTCTCTCTCTCTCTCTCTCTTCTCTCTCTCTCTCTCTCTCCTCTCTCTCTCTCTCTCTCTCTCTCTCTCTCTCCTTCTCTCTCTCTTCTCTCTCTCTCTCCTTCTCTCTCTCTCTTCTCTCTCTCTCTCTCTCTCCTTCTTTCGTCTTCTATCTGTCTGTCGTCGTCTCTCTCTCTCTCTCTCTTTCACCACAATCACATTTCATTAAATACTTTAAAAACCTTGATTTTAAACATGTTACGCGGGCTTAAAGTAAAAGTTATGATCCAGTTCCTTGTACTGTCGGGCTATCAGAAAACTATCCATTCTTTAAATCACTTCTTCCCTACGAGTCTCATACTTACCGGAAAATGACGTTTTAATTTTAATTTGGCTAGCGTATGGAAAAGGGGGGGCGGGGCCCCAATCGTCTTCCTTGCCTCTTTGTTGACACTAAAATATCTCCTCCCTCCTCAAAAGTAAGCCTCTCCACCATCTTTTTTGGGGAAAGATGATCGTAGGGGAAAGAAGCAGATAGACTGGGTTTTTTAAAATAAAGCTGCGGGTTACACAGGATATTCCCCTCGTTGGAAAATTTACTAGGTGACAGCGTCGTGGGGGGTGACTGGGCCCTTTGAACTTGCCCCCGTCTAGTTTTTATGAAAACCTTGAAGTTCTGTACCATGATAATTAAAAAAAAAAATAGGTAGTGGCTTTTGTCTTGGGTCCTTCAGTTTCCGGGAAACGCGGCCCTGGATAGTCGATAATACCTGATACCAGTTTACCGTTTCGTAAAAAGGGGAAGTTTGTACAGCTGTAGTCTCATCCCATTTGATAAGAGCCGAACGCTCTCCCACAAAGCTACGTTTACATCAGCAGGAAAAACATATAACGGTTTGGGATCCCCGGGGACGATGGTGAAGATGCCAAAGTAGTCATGTAAAATTTTTCATGAACGAGTGAACTTTATCAGGTCATAATTGTCATAAATCAAGGATTCTATAAATTTCATTTTATCTGCCGTCGGAAAAAAAATAGGGGTTTTTAGACACGGAAAAGCGTATTACTTCCAGATGCCGTTCCCTGCGCTTTTCCCCGTCGTACACGTCTCTTTTCATTTTGAGGTTAATACGTCATCTTTACCCCCCACTTGTTTGCTGTCTAATAT